GCGTTGATTAACTCAGGCCAGGGCTTCTAGCCCTTGATCAGTGACATTTAGAGATTTCCCGGTTGTTACATTGTCTTCTATTGAGTTCTTCCCTTGGTTGATCTGCAGTTTGCTACGTGTTAATTGCTGTGTGCTACCATGTTACACATTCGATCACTGATTCACTCCTCCTTTCAGGGGCCAGCCTGATACAGAGAAGGACAGTTTGATTCCTACCCTTGTTAACTTTGTTACAATGTATAACTTACTTATGAAACTAAACACATTCAGTTGAAAGGTGAGGAGTATAAAATATAAGCTACAAATGCCATGGCACACAAATAGATAAAAATACCAAAATACAAGGGGAGATACAAAATGCACACATACAAATTTCAAAACACAATTCCTTATCTTAAAAGAAAGAGGAAGGAAGGAAGAAAAGGTAGAAGAGGAAAAACATATCCAAGTAGGGGAGAGCAAATGCAGGCAAGAGGAAAAGGGGCTTTCTGCTACAGTAACTACTCTGCATGCCTGGCCTGTCTGCATATATTGCATGATGCATCTGGCAGTGGCACCATGATCCTAATGTGTTTCTGGGGCCTTCCAGCCCAACTTGTTCCCAGAAGCAGGAGCTTCCCTAGGCCAAGGCAAGGAGGAGCAGAGCAGCCTGAGGAAGCAGGCTGTGCCCGAGGAAAGCTGGTGCCTCTGAGCGCTGGGCCCGAAGCAAGTCTTCCGGCCCAGGCGCTCTCAGTGCGCAGGCGCAGCAATAGGCGGCGCTGACAGCGATTCCCGCCGACCCCGGGTTTACCTAGAAGACCCAGAGGCCCGGCCCCACCCTTCCCTCTCGCGCATGCGCACTGGAAACGTCACACTCCCCTCTAACATCGCGAGATTTGGCCAGGCAGCTGCAACAGCTCAGGCGCGTCGCCATAGCAGCATCAGGAGGGACAGCAAGGAAGATGGCGGCCGCAGCGGGGCGCTTGTTGGTGGCAGCGACCGGCTCCTGGGTGCGGGTGGTGCGTAGCGGCGGGCTCCACAGAGGCCCCGCGCTAACCGTGGTACCCTCGCGCAGCCTCACTGTCACCCGCAGCGGCGCCATTTTGCCCAAGCCCATTAAAGTAAGTGGGGGGGTGAGGGGAGGCGGGCCGGGACAGCAACCAATCGCAGGGCGCTGCACGACGCCGGCTTTTTTGACGAGCGGGAGCATTGGCCAATCGAGAGAGAAGCTTTGTAGCGGTGGGAGTCGAGTGACAGGCGTCGGGTCAATGAGGCGCGGCAGAGCGCTCGGAACGCGGAAGTGCCCGCTGGCCGGGTCCAAGTCTCCCGTGCGGGGGCGCGGGGACGAGGGAGTGTCAGGTGGGAATGGTCCCGTCCCGCAGGAGGCGAGGTGGCCCGGCCCGGCCCGGCCCCTGCGGGCAGTTGCGAGGTGCAGGGCGTGGCCCCAGGGTGCCTCTGCCAGGCACGCTGCCCCTGCAGGTGGGGCTAGGGCCCTCCTGCCCCTTGGTGCTGTGGGGCCCCCCTCCTGGCTCCAGCCCCTGCTCTGAGCACGTTGGGGTCACTGCACCAGGGACCCTCCATCACCCTTCATTCGCGGTGGCAGGAAGGATGCCACGACCCACTCAGCTTTCCCCTTGCCAACTCTGTAGGCAGGGGCTGCGTCGGCAGCCTGTTGGCTTTGCTCCTCTCTTGATGGGCAGCTGGGCTTTGGCAGGACTCTGTGTAAGCTGCACCAGGAAGAGGCGAGAGGTTGCCCCATAAATTGTAGTGGGTTTTTAACATTGTTTCTTTGAAAATAGGGTATTTTATAAAGAGAGGGTCCATGGTGTGGAGGAGTTTTTACAGGAGATGTCACTGCTGCCATTGTGTTGTAAAGCTTGCCAGTAGGCCTGGCCCCCTCCCCAAACACCAGTCTGATCCCCCCCACTCTGCTGCTCTGCTCTCATCTGCTGCCTGTTTCCTTGATCTGCAACATGCTCCACACACAAGCTGCCGGTGCCACTTGTGCCACTCATACTGCAGTTTTGTCACCCTGTTGTAAACAGTGATCTAGTGCTAAATTAAACTGCATCAGCTCAGGCTTGACAAATTCCATAAGCCAAGGGTGCTCAATCTCCGACCCGGAGGCCAAATGCAGCCTGCAGAGCCATTGCATCTGGCCTGCAGGGCTCCTCATGGGTCGGGAGATTTGGCAGCAGAGGAGCAGTAGCCATTAATACGGTTACCCTTCCCGCTGCCAAATTCCCAAACCTCGAGCCCTGTGTGTCCAATTGGAGCCAGGCCATGTCCTTTCCCCCTCGGGGGCCAGGTTGGGGCTGGGCCATGCCTCTTTCCCGTGGTGAGGCCAGGCCATGCCTCCTTTTCCCCCTTGAGGCCAGGTTAGGGCTAGGTCATGCCCCCTTACTGCTCACAGGAAAATTAGGGCTGGTAGGGACCTCAGGAGGTCATCTAGTCCAACCCCCTGCTCCAAGCAGGACCATCCTCAACTGGATCATCCCAGCCAAGTCTTTGTCTAGTTGGGTCTTAAAAACCTCCAAGGATGGAGAGTCCACCACCTCTCTGGGTAACCTGTTCCAGTGTTTTACTACCCTCCTCATGAGACAAGTTTTTCCTAATATCCAGCTTAAACTTCCCTTGCTGCAACTTGAGACCATTGTACCTTGTTCTGTCATCTGCCATCACTGAGAACAGTCTGCCTCCATCCTCTTTGGATCCTCCCTTCAGGTAGCTGAAAGCTGCTATTAAGTCTCCCCATAATCTTGTCTTCTCCGCACTATATAAACCCAGTTTCCTCAGCCTTTCCTCACAAGTCATGTTCCCCAAGCCATTTTTGTTGCTCTCCACTGGACTCTCTCCAATTTGTCCACATCTGTTCTGTAGTGGGGGGCCCAAAACTGAACACAGTACTCCAGATGTAGCCCCACCAGGGCCAAATAGAGGGGAAGACTCATTTCCCTCAGTCTGCCAGCAACACTTGTACTAATGCAGCCCAGTATGGTGTTAGCCTTCTCCACAACAAGGGCACACTGTTTCCTCATATTCAGTGTATTGTCCACTGTAACCCCCGGTCCTTTTCTACAGAGCTGCTGCTTAGCTGGTTGGTCTCCAGCCTGTACTGGTACATGGGATTGTTCTGAAGTATGTGCAGGACTTTGCACTTGTCTTTACTAAATTGCATAAGATTTCTTTTGGCCCAATTCCCCAATTTGTCTAGGTCTCTCTGAATCCTAGCCCTATCCTCCAGTGTATCTACCTTGCCCCCCAACTTGGTGTCGTTTGCAGACTTGCTGAGGGTGCACTCTATGCCATCTTCCAGGTCATTCATGAAGATATTGAAGAAAGAGAGCTCCAGGGTTGACCCCTGGGGCACTCCATTTGATACTGATTGCCAACTAGACATCAAGGCATTGATTATTACACTCTGAGCTTGGAAATCCAGACAATTTTCTATTCACCTTACAGTCCATTCATCCAACCCATACTTCCTTAGCTTGCCTGCGAGAATGTTGTGGGAGACTGTATCAAAACAGTCTCCCACAACTAAATCAGGTCACTAAATCATTGGATGCAGGGGTAGCAGTGGATATAGTCTTCCTGGACTTCCGGAAGGCTTTCGA